TACATATATTTAAAGGTATCAGACAGTAGGATGTTATGCCAAAGAAAAATTTCACAGGTAGGTGTATAATACTATTATTATCTTTATAAAAATAATACTGTAAATAGAAAAATATCCTTTTTAGCCGTAAAGTATTTTTAGAGTTTTGAAAATGATAACAGTAATTTATAAATCATTGTTCAATATTTTTTTGAGATTATATTAAACCTAAAAAAAACTCATATAATATATTATAACCATAGTATACCACAAAACACGTTGATATTTTGGTATCAATAATTTAAGTAGAAATAATAATTGTTGTATTTGTCATCGTTATAAACTATAATATTATATGAATCATTTCACCCCAACCACCTGTCACCGCATGCAGTTTATTTGTTATTGAAACGAAAATATTTTTAATTTATTATAACCGCTAAACTTATTCTAGAAAAGGTCAAAACCATTGTTTTCTGTCAAATTAATGGATAATATTATTAAATTAAATTGTAGAACATCACATAGGTCCTATCGTAGGTTCTAGTGTTGTTAATATTATAATATAAAGGTGCTTATATATTATGAAAAAATATATGAAATTGCATAGTTAAAAGCTGAAAAAAGTTACAAAAATAATATTATTATTATGAGAACTGAGAAGAATATTAGAGCATAATGAACAATGGTTAACGAGAGAAAATCATATAAACATTAATATAGTTGAATGAGATTTTTAATCATATGAACTATAGTCCAATTAAGAACTAAAAAATCCTTTTCAGTATCAGTTGTTACGTGGAAGTATATATCAAGTTTAATTGAGGTGTGGCTATTTAAAAACGGGATTTGTGGAAAAGAGTGTTTAGTTTTAATTATTTTACTACTGAATTATGATTTCCTTAAAATATTATATACTCCCAGTCTTTATCTACACATCGCTACATAATTTGTGTTTTCTATTGAAAAAATCAACTTTGTAAGTAGATCTTCCCCTTTTTCTACTCTTTTTCCATTTTGAATCTCATCTCTTTAACAAAGTTTTCACTTTTGGGGATTGGGCTTGAGTCACAGGGTGCTAAATCTTGCTAATATTGAGGGTAATTGTACTGAGAAGTTGAAATTATCTTGCAACAACTGCCTAATGGAGTAATATGAATATACTATGGTGCCAATAGTATCACAAATTATTCACGATGCATGTTTTGTAAAATGTGTAAAACTGTTACTTTCTTTGTATACTTAAACGTTGTTAATATCGAAAAATGTTCTTAATTTGTTTAGTATTTGTATCAATTGTTGGTACGTAAACTATCTTATGGTGTTTGGGCGTGTTCCAGATAGCCAGGGCCTTGTGAAAAACCTTCCAACACTCATTAAAGAGTAAAGACCACTCAAAAATTAGGGTACACATCTTACGTGACAAGACATACAGTATTATAATTCCCAAGCAGTTCATTCAACAATTTAAAATATTCCATTTAAGTATTTATTTTAATTCAACGAGGAATTCAAATTTGTTTTTCCAAATCCAGCAATGTTGTGGTATAGTGTTCAAATCGAACATCGAGTAAACTCAAAATAATTTAATAAAATAGGTATTTATTATTTCATTGTTTAATGTATAAAATCGATGTTAACCAATATAGTTATCCCACCTCGACACATCACAAGAGTATTTCGGTTCTTTTCGAATGATAGTAGTTATGTTTGTAAACTTCCACGGTCCGTAAATCATCGAGTAGGGAAAATATAAATTTCTAATTAATTCCAGAATTATAAGCAAAAAAAAAAAAAACTTGTAATAATGATGTGCCTTATCATAGCAGGATTGCTGCAGGATGTTAAGTCCGTATCCGATTTCCGGGGCATTTCCGATGTAAAACCGACAACGTTTACAACATAATACCGTCATTCGACGATTGGCTGCAACTTGTGCTTTTAATTACAGTTTCAAAATTAACAATATAATTTTAATACTGATCGTATGTATATGCGTAAGCGGATTCTCGAAACGTTGAGGGTCTAAGTCCGATTCAACTAGACTCAAACTCGTGGAGTTGGAGTAAAATTAAGTTATAATCACCGGAACGTATCATAATTCATGAACTACAAGAAAAGCAGATGGATTTAAGATATAATCGTCTTAATAAGTACTACATTCATTAAGTCTTGATTGTTAATAATATTATATCGTTTCCCAAGTGATAAGAATTAATGCATCTCCAAAACACATTATGTTACATTTATATAGAACATAGGTATACATAATATATTTATGTACACATGAAATGTATGATGCATACTGGTTATTATTTTAATAAATCTATAAACATAAACTAAACATTTGCCAACTGATAAAACTAATTGTTAATGTTTTGGAATAGTAATTTGTACCAGATAACTGAAATAGTGTTTAATTTGAAAACAAAAATAAGATTACAAGAGTTGAAGGTTTTCAAATTATTTTTATACTCTTAAAATATATTATATAATTTGTAAATTAAAAACTCTATCACACGATTCATTTGCACTATAGTCTGTAAGTGACTTTAATAATTATTATTCTAGTATTAGACTACATATATTATCATGCGCTAAATAAACGTGGTGGTAATTTTAAGTGTTAACACTAAGTTTCTCAAAAATGATTAAGGTTTTCCGAAACAAGATATTTTTTACATAATCTGAAATCAAGTAAAAAAATAATTTTTACAATTTTTTTATCGTTATAAATGTTCGACATTTTCAATTTTTGTGTGAAATAATCAATCAGAAATTATTAATTTCACACTCAAAAGCACAATATATTTATGAGAATTCAAACAATTTTTTTTTTTAATGTTGTTTTGAAATACATTTAAAACAATATGTTGAAAAAAAATATAGTAAAAAATATAATAAAAAAGTCATACAAATTGTTATCTTTTTTAATATATAGTAATGAGTTTTAAATGATATTCTGCGCAAAACGATACATTTCGACACTTAATTATTTTATTTCGAATAATAATATGGTAAGATTGTTGCCTATGGATTTAAAATAGTTTAGCCTTTAAATAGATGATACCAAAGTAAACCAGGTGTTAATAGCTACTACACAGGTTATAGTTTTAGGAAATATGATTTTGCAATGTATACGAAAGTTTTGCGATCACCGCATCATTTCTAATGGACTTATTACATGATTTCAGCCAGTTCGTGTAAAAACAATGGCGATCACTCGTTCCAATTAAACTAAAGAAGAATATTGTATGTTTACACACGGAATATTTCCTATTATTGTACACTCGGAACGTCGCAATTTCATCGATTCGTATTATTTCAGTGTATTTACAATATGTCAACTGCCACATATATATATTATTATTACGTATATAGTAGGATTATTATTCATTATTAATGATAATAGGTACATATTTTATACCATCGATGGAGTACGTCGGTGGACATGATATTTATTGTTTTCCATAGTAATTACTAATTTAAAATACACATAATATTATTATATGATTCAGCGATACCGTTGTCGCGATATTACAACGAATTTGACTATAACTTGGTTCGTAAACATTTGTTTTTATTTTTTACAAGCACGGTGATCGTTGTAATATTTGTATCGATAATAATCGCCAATAGTACACCGTTCTTTATTCCCATTGATATTTTGCATAATATATTTCAAAACTATCGAGTTCTGTAGTACAGAATATATATTATTTCATCTTGCATTTATTTTGGATTTTTGATTTCAACATATTATTTTTATTTATGATAGGTTTTTTACTAATTAATGCTAATACATATTATATTATACTATACTTTGTTGAGTGCGTCATCGTTTTACGTTATGGTATTAATAGTTTTTCATTGGATAATATTATTATTATTATTATTCAGTGCTAAGTACAGTTGTTGAGATATTACGACGAATTTGTTGAGACTTCAACTTGGTTCGAATAGATTCATTTCTATTTTTTTTTCAAACACGATTATGATCGTTACAGTATTTATTTCGTTAATAATCATACGCCGTTCCTGACTCCAATTGATGTTTGGCATAATTATGTAACTAGTGAAACCTGTAGTACAAAATACTACAACTTGAGTTTATCTTGAATTTTTGATTTTCACAAGTTATTTTTATTGGCCGTCATAGTTTAAGCCCTACATTCAGTATTTATGATATGCTCAAATCATCTATTGAAAAAAATAAAACATATTTTGTTAGTTATACCAAATAATATAATATGCCTGCTACAATACTGTCAATAATGTAATATCGTACAATATTTTACAAGCAATTAACTGATTAATCAGTTTTTTTTTTATTTGATTTATGTAATGTAACATAAATCGTTTTTAATCTGCAGTTTATTTATATCAGTTTATTAGACAGAAATATAAAAGTTTATTCGTCTTATCTGTATTGTATTGCATCAATATTAATTCGTTTTAATGTGTGGAGTCAAACATTACATAGAACTATGCAAACATAAATAACGTACAGGATGACTCATTGTTACATAGCAATTGAACTATTCTCACCTAAATATTGATCAAAAATAATGAATATAATTTCTTTACACTTTAAACGTTTACCGCGAAAGCCTTTGAACACTTTTCTTTTCTCATCTATAAAAATGTAATTTTTTAACAAATCCTTCGTCTAAAAAAAAAAATCACGGATATAAATCACAGACCAATTATGATCATGTATTTTAGTTATGATATTTATCATGTTATATAGTCTGCCTTTAATGATTTGGTTCAATCGTAAAACGATTACAATTTTGATTAAAAAAAAAAAAAAAAACATCAACCTATTAAATAGCCTATTAAACCATTTTTTTTTTTCTTACAGAACCATTCATTGGCAATGCGACCCAGTATATACACGCCGATCACCCATACACATACTGTTCCAAATCAATCGAAATACGCACACACTCGCTGAGGATTTCTACGATATAATCCGTTTAATCGCACGTAGTAAAAAAAAAAAAAACCGATCGATTCTCGACGAATCTGTCGGAACCCGGCTCCGCGTGCGTTGGCTCGTAAAATATACACGGGATTGTGAATATAATTATCAGATAATAACATGTTAATTTAATGCGCCCCACCGTGCAAAACGACACTATCAAACGAAACATACACTACTGCGGCAATTCAAATTATTTCCATGTGGGTTTCCGTCGGGAACGTGCGATAATATATTACAATAATTCCTCAGACTCGTGCAATAACAGCAGTAACCGCGTTCCAAAACCGCCATGGCGTTGGGTGTTGCCGACTACGTCGTGTTCGGAATAATGTTGGTCATGTCCGCCTCGGTCGGTGTGTACTACCGATTTACCGGTGGCAAACAAAAGACAACGCAGGTAATAATTATTGTTTTCGTGTATAATATAATAGTATGTAGAAGGACGGGTCGAAGGTTTACATTTTTTTTTTTTTTTTTTTATCGAGTATAACCCTCCGAAATCGAAGTAGGTACCCGTATATTATAGGAGGTACGGTTTTAATTGGTTTTTGATCCTCTCCCGTCCCTCAGAAATGTCGGCATGTACATGCGACGCCGGGGCTTTAGTGTTCATCGGGCAAACTTCATATCGACTAAACCAAATCATAGTAATAGAAAAAAAAAATTCGAGCGAACTACATCTGTTGTATATTCTTGTCGGTGTCGTGTGTAAGCTCGTCATTGGGTAGGTAGCTGTTAGATCATTCCGTACAACAACGATTCAGATCGAAGACGGTCCGTCGACATATCTCATACTACCAAGTGTAATGTGTATACAATTATATTGCTAGATATTGGTAACACAGTAGATTGAACCGATTTTCACCAAACACATCGCATTTATTGTATTAATAGTTATTATAATAGTAATATGTTTTTATATCATATAATATAATTATTTTTATTGAGTTTTGAGTCAATGCAGACTTACCGACATTATGTCATCAGTGATAATATGGGTCCGTACTGTAAAATATAGGAAATAGCATAAAACTAATCTAAATAACTTTAAAATGTCATTCCGTATAGTAAATTATAATAATATGCATAAAAGTTTCATGTCCCAAGAATAATATTTTCAAATTATAACAAAATAACTAAAATCGTTTTTTTTTGTTTAGATATTCAACTGTACATCAACATTTGAATTTCAAATGTCTGCAAGAAGTGTACATGTATCAGTATAATAGTATTTGATTAATTATATGTGTTTACTTTCTTTTTGATGTATCTACCGATTTACTATTTAACCATGTCAGTTAGCTCCTCCTCGTGCTTTTTACATATTTTAAACATGATTTAAATTGGTAGTGTTATTAGTTATTTACCCTTTAACATGACTCTACATCGAAGTGTGTTTTTGTGAATGTTTTTGTGTTTAAACATTTCACTTCTTACTACAATGTTTACAATGTTTCTAGCTGTTGAAAGAATAATCAGTATATCGAGTAGGTATCTACATTTCAAAAACAGAACAGCAGACTATTATTAAATTAAAAACTCAAGCAGCCATTTACAATAAAAAAAATAGAAAACAATTTAATTGTATGAATGATTCAATTTTTGAAACATTAAAATATCACATTAACAAAAATGTTAATAATTCAAAATAATAAAATGTCAGTGTTGTAAAATCCAAACAGTATTGATAAATAATGTATGTCGACAAATAGCTATTGTAACTTAAACTAAATAAATCAAATATTTGTTATTCGTATTGGACCTTTTAGAATAAAGTTAATTTTAATATATTTTTTTAGCTTTGACGTCATTATCCTCATTAATAAGTGAATCATTTATCTTTCAACATTTTGGTTGTATATGTATTTTGAAAAGCATATGAGTTATTTGATTTTTAACTATTCTCCTAGAAATGTAAAATGAATAATTTTGTTTATTACCTAAATATTAACAATAATATATTATCATGTCAAATCACAAATATGTATGGTAAATTTCACTTTTTAAGATTTATCAAAACAAAAACGAATCATTCATAACTTTAAAGATTTGATTATTTTTTTTCAAATCTTTGTTATTTTACAGGAGGATTCACTAAGTTCAAATTGTTTCTTTTAATAATCAATTTACTCAAATTTTGATTTTTGGAATTTTTTATTACACACATAGACCATTTTATCAAATGTTTGAAGTTTTTATACTACATATGAGAATTGAACTATTGCTATAAAATTTTTTTTTTTTTCAAATGGTAACATCATCCTTTTTTAAAAATTATTTTTTGGATAATAATTGTCCTTAAAAATAATCTTACAAAAATACAAGAAAGATTTAGGTCATATTGGATTTAGTATTTATTATGTTTGGACTATTTTTACAAGTTATTAGATCACTAAAATTGTCTAATAGCCATATTATATAGCCCTTATATCATTCAAGCCCTCCATAATTCATAACAGACCAATTATCATTATAGCAATATAGCACACAAAGTTAAATAATTTGAAAACTACTCGTTTGAATTTTGTTTCTGATATGTCCACATTTTTAGGAAATTGATCCTCTAATCACTTGACGGTAAATAATGGTCCTTATTAAAAAAAAAAAAAAATAGAAATTTGTTTTACCATTGGGCATTGCTAAGTAGTAGTGCAAAAAATCTCAAGAATTTGAAAATATGGGCTTATATTGGGGTAATTCGGATTTTGAACAACTGCGTTATTAAAGAAAAAAGAGCGTAAACCCGCTTGATGAATCATCCTAATAATATCATAATAATAATAGTATATGAATATTATGTTCACAGGAATACATGTTGGGTGATAAGAACCAGAGTGTTTTACCGGTGGCGTTTTCTCTGATGGCCAGTTTCGTAACAGCAATATCGATGTTCGGTTTGAGCTCGGAAGTGTATACTCGTGGTACCCAGTTTTCCATCATAATCATCTCCTACGTTATCGCCACTCCCGTCATAGGTTACTTATATCTGCCGGTTTTCTTCAAGCTCGGGAACTTGTCTCTATACGAGGTACTTAAAGGACCGTGAAACAAAAAATTGTCATTTTTTTTTTCACACCTTAGTATAATATTGGAAATGAAAACTAAATTGTTCGGCTTTTCAAAAAAATGATCCGATCACTCGTTCTGTGTGAAATAGCGATTGTACTCATATGCGTGACGTCACTGCAGTGCACGGATTCGTGCCACCGTAATATTTTGCGCCGTACAATAATGTTTATATGGTGCATTCAAACATGCAAAATATAAGACTGAATTAATTTCTGTGACGATATTATAATGTCATTATCATTTATTATTATAAATTGACACTAAAAGTTATTTATATCATATTAGATAATTCCATTTGAATAACGAATAACAAACTAGGGTTTATAGGATATTATCAATTGTCATATTTTGTCATTATTCAGCAAAAAAAAATACTAAAATATAAAATGAATACTGAGTTACCTACACTAATCTTATTCAAACTTATTTATTACAATTAATTTGGTGTTCAAATTTATTGAGATTGTTTTATTTGCTGTGTTTTTTTATAAAACCTACGTATATTCCATTATTTTCAGGGTACTTATTTCGAATATCTTGTACAGCACATGCTGGAATGCATACACGATTTCCTATGGAGTTAAGTATTAACGATACAATTAATAATTACCAATTAATAATAAGTTTAGTCGTATAGATAAATTAGAAATTACGTGTTTATAAAACGCCATGTAAATATCTACCGCCTAAAATAATACGTCGGCACAAATGCGCACCAGTCACGCGTATACGTACGATCGCAGCTATTTGACGCAAAAGGAATGATCGGATCATTTTTTTTTGAAAAGACCAACAATTTAGTAATCATTTCTAATATCATACTAAGGTATAAAAAAAGAAAATGATTTTTTTTTTTGTTTCATTGTCCTTTAACGACGAACGTCATAATAACAATATTATAACATAATAATGTGACGTCGTCACAATGCTCACAGTACTTGGAAATAAGATTTGGACGTTTAACACGAGTGATCACGTCGTTGGCTTTCAGTATACAAATGATATTCTACATGGCCATCGTACTGTACGTCCCAGCACTGACTTTGGAAGCTGTGACCGGATTACCTCAGTCCGCTTCCATTTTACTCGTGGGATTGGTATGCGTGTTCTACTCTACAATGGGTGGAATAAAAGCAGTCATCATAACGGATTTATTACAAGTAAATGTCACGATTACATTTTGTGTACAGTTGTTACTTGCCGTTATAAATAACATACATCATTGTCCGTAAATATTACTAATCTATATTTGAATTATAAATGATGCGATTTTGTTTTTTTTACTAATTATTCTAGTCGATTCTCATGTACGCATCGGTAATTGCGGTTGTTGGGGTTGCATGGTATGAAACTGGGGGTCTATCGGAAATCTGGGACATTTCCAATAGATATGGACGTATTAACTTTGGAAAGTAAGAAAAAATGTATTTATTTTTATAATATTGATGTACCTATAGCTATAATTGATAATGTTAAACTTTCAGGAATTTTCAATATTCATATTAACTCTTATAGTTTACCTTCCTAATGACACTATATAATCCCTATTTTTTTTTTTTATATCAAACTGAAGTTTGTTTTCAATCTTAACGAAACCTAAACAAATCAAACTTTTGAAAATCAAAAACGTTAAAGTAATTTCAATCATTTTTTTACATTTTTAAAAAAACTATATTTTGCCAAAATGACCTAGTTAAGTATTAAACTATTAAATAATATTGTATCATAATAATAATAATAACTTGTTTTATTGTTCTGCAATAAATTGCTTTTGAATTGAATTTTTAATAGTTCTTTAAATCATTATCTGCCCTTAGTACAATATTAAAACAAAATAAAATATATTTAAAATATTTAAAGTCATAATATACTTATAATTTTCAATTTCAGTTTCAATATCGATCCAACAGTAAGACATAGTTGGTTAAGTATACTAGTCGGAGGGAGTTTTACTCAAATTTCTTTGTATGCTGTCAATCAAACACAAATACAGAGATTTTTAACTTTGAAGGACTATAAGACTGCCGTTACCGCGCTCTGGTGTAGCTTACCACTAGTGATAGTCATATCTCTTTTAACAAGTTTGTCTGGTCTAGCGATGTTTTCAAAATATTACAACTGCGATCCTATAAAGTAATTAAATATTTAAGTTTTAATTGCTAAAACATATTTATACAATATCTGAATTCTACATCATATAATTTAATTATACGTATTAGATTCTTTGTGGAGCGATGATTGTACTTTATAATGTTATATTATTAAGCATTGTATCCACATCACGAAACCGCCATTAATATAGTTCAAATTTTAATCAAAAACATTCCATTTCATGAACATTGATCATATCGTATACCGAATACCTAATGTGTTTTAAGTGAATGTAATGTACAGACATAATGAAATGTACCAAACGACGGTAACATTATCGTTAGATAGGCATTGTTATCAATATAGGCATCAATAATAATTTTATTAATGATGCCTACAAAATTACGATCGGTCTTCTCTGGTAACAAGATTACAAACTTATTAGGGGAGACCGAAGACAATCATTCGGTGATGAACAATAGTATAATATCAATTATCATTAATCATAATTTTTTATTTCATGATAGTTCAATCTATGATATTAATTAAGTATAATATTTTCAATTTTGTTATTATATTTTCCAATAAAAGTTGCATTTTATTTTATTTTTATAAAATTTTTGCCGTTCCACCTCCACCATACATACCGTCATACACAAGTTAGGTATTAAACACACATTTTTATTTTATTAAAATCATTTACCAGCTTACACATAATAATAATAATAATAATAATAATATGATGATGATGATGAATGTTACTGTAATAAATTGTGTTTAAAAAGGTCTGGTCGTATATCAAGCAGTGATCAATTGATGCCGTTATACGTGCTGGACACTATGGGATCCATACCTGGCTTAACTGGATTATTCATAGCTGGAATATTTTCGTCGGCAATGAGCTCTGTATCGCCAATCCTCAACTCATTGGCAGCAATTACGATGGAAGATTACATAAAGGTTGTATATTGAATTTCAAACAAATTTAATCGTCCGAATAAATACAGTTTGAATTTAAAGCGATATGTTTTGTATTCCAGCCATTTAAAAAACAAGAAATTGCGGATAAAAAACGTGTTTATCTTATGAAAATTTTAGTCCTCGTGTACGGTGGTGTTTGCATTACATTATCATTTCTGACTAAATATATGGGCGCTGTGCTTCAAACTTCCCTGACCATATTTGGAGTAATCGGCGGACCCGTGTTGGCCGTGTTTACATTGGGTATACTCTTACCTTACATCAACCAAAAAGTAATTGATTATAATTTATAATATTATAATACTATGGTAGTCGCTGGTAAAATATTTTAATTTTAAGGATGTCAGGGTGGATGGGTCTTTTGTACGAAAACTGCTCACAGGAAAAACTCTCTGGCCTCGTGAAATATTCGAATTTCGATAATTTTTATTTTACCTTGGAGAATAATAATATATTATATATTATGTTGCATCCACATAGTGAAACTACTCATTTCATGAACTGGATATTCAGATAGTGAAATTCGTCCAGATAGTGAATTTTGACGACAATACATTATATGGACATCCATTTCATGAAATGGACAATACCTATATCGTGTACTTTGTGTAATTATTATTTTATTATATAATGGTTCATAAACTATCATTACACATTTATACGCATATTATATTTAATTTTTCACGATTGATTAATACATAGGTAATTTTCTATATTGTTCTATACACAAAAATCTAGCAATTATAGTCAATAAATTACCTATATCATATTACATTATATTTTTATTTTATTTTTCATAAACCATACGTATATTATATTTTATAAACAACAGTGTTACCTATGTCCTATATTAAGTGCTATAAAATATTCATGAAATTATAACTATAATTATAATATTTAACTAACTATATTTCTCTCTTGTTTTATTACCTAACAAAATAATTAATTGATTAACTTAAACATACCTTAAACGGCTTAAGCTTTACATACATTTTTTAATTATTATTTATTTTTACACAACTATTGATTATGACATCGACTGTTACATTGCATATTATTTTTAAAACAAGTACACCTACTTGGTTGGCAAGGATTTTTTGCCTTACACAAACAAGACAAAAAATCCTTGCCCTCCTGAAATTTTTTTAATCATTTCTCTCACCTAAATATCAACATTTTTATCAACTTGATCAGTAGTGAGAAATTGAGTTGTTGATTTTTTCAAACATTCACTACTGAACCATCCTTTGAGTAAACCATATTTTGTTAATTTGTTCCAAATTTATGTAATCCTTTTTTTTTGTTCCGTGATCACGCAAATTATGTTTGGGGGATCTATAGGTTAGGTTATAATTATAGTTAATTTCATGAATATTTTATAACACTTAATATGGGACATAGGTAACACTGTTGTTTATAAAATATAATATACGTATTGTTTATGAAAAATAAAATAAAAATATAATGTAATATGATATAGGTAATTTATTGACTATAATTGCTAGATTTTTGTGTATAGAACAATATAGAAAATTACCTATATATTAATCAATCGTGAAAAATTAAATATAATATACGTATAAATGTATAATGATAGTTTATGAACCATTATATAATAAAATAATAATTACACAAAGTACACGATATAGGTATTGTCCATTTCATGAAATGGATGTCCATATAATGTGTTTTCGTCAAAATTCACTATTTGGACGAATTTCGCTATCTGGATATCCAGTTCACGAAATGAGTAGTTTCACTATGTGGATGCGACATATATATATATTCAGATAGTATTAAACTCAGAGTTTAAAAATTATTTTTTGAAAAGTAGAAATAAAATATAAAAGTGTCTAATTTATAGCACGAATTGTTGTATATTTTGAAATATGTTTTTCTGGCGTTATTTAAAGTGAATTGAAAAATCTGAGTTCAATATGACCGGACTTAAGTTTTTCTCTTTTAAATCCAAAATAAATATCAAAATTCCACTATTTTTCAAGGCATGATTGTTATTCCTGTAAATGCATTATTGGTAATTGAAATGATTATATTTTGTCATCCTGCGGTATATTGTATAACTGGAGTTTAACTAGAAATGGCATTTTTACATCTTATTGCACTCTCTCAGTACCATTGGCCTTCCTCAAGGCCATTAAATACATAAATTGATAATAATAAAGTATAAACGGCAGTAACAGATGAATTGATGAATAATTTGTAAAATTTTGTGTAGATCAATTTAAAAATATAAACACGACAGTTTATACGGCTCCGGCATCCTTAATACTATTCTAATTATTTTTGTTTATTTATTTTGATAAATTATTAATTATAAAATCTCAAATTTCCAGGGCGCAATGGCCGGCTTAATATTTGGCTTGAGTTTTTCGTTTATCATTGGATTCGGCGGGCCTAAACCTCCAGTTGAAAATCTACCTTCGTTCACAAATTCGTGTACAATATTTAATATTTCTACAAGTTCCACCCAGCTTCCATCATCGTTTTATAAAGGGTAACAATCGTTCACCATTTTATTTTTAGTATTATTGATTATATAGTTGTCTATAAAAGTTAAAAATCATAGTTGTACTCAAAAATTCACGTTTTTTCATGTTTTTGAATTAATATGTCATAGGTATTATAGTGACTCAAAATAAAATATACATATTCCCTCTTCTAGTCTAAAAGTATTGGTAACGTTATTTGGAAGGGGCGATGAGATTTTTCTCTTGGGAGTTGGACCATTTTTTCTTTTTAAAGGATTTTAAAGGTTTTTATCTTAAAAATGGATTAAACAAAATATAAAACATAAAAACGTAAAAAAATAATGAGTTTATTATGTGGTGAATTTATAGAGGGAAGGGAGTCTTCCTGAAAAACAGTTGTACTAACACAATTTTATGACATCCTCACCCCTCAAAATTAACTTCAGTTATGCCACTGTATAATAATATTCTACTTACTGTATTATATTATTTCACAAAATGTAGCTTTTAATTTAATTTATTTAGAACATCGCACGATGATGGCTATGCATATTTGTATCGAATCAGTTACCTGTACTACATAGTATTGGGATTTTTAGTAACATTTGTAGTGGCAATGATAGTGAGCGCAATATTCAGAGGAAAAACACGTGACCACAATCCGGATCTATTCACCCCGTATGTGGCGAAACGATTGTTAAGACGTGACAGAGATTATGGACAAAGATTATAATGTGAGTATTTAATCTCGTTTGCATGATAATGCTGGGTATTTGCGGTTTACATGATCAATATTAAATTATGTACCATATTGTGTAGCAGATGCAATCGTGGTCTGTGTCCAGAAATGATTGTTGTATTACGTCAGACTATACGATACCGAAGTTCAAAGTGAAATTTCAAGCAACCACCATATGCTTTACTCGTCTATTTATATAATTTAAGCATTTTGATCATGGTGTAATATATTATATTATGATTAATAAATAGTCAAACGGAATCAGATCCGCGCGACAGTTGTATTTAACATGGTTGTTTTTTTGGGCCGGGTGAAAAATTTTTTTGTTCCAACCGATTTTTTAAATTTTTATTAATGAATGAGTGGTAGCCGCAAGACACCACCGTTTCTAAGAAACAGAACATTTTAATATTTATATCACACATACTTCTTTTTATGTTCACCCGCGGTATAATCATGTTTTTACCCCCTCTAAAATCCATTATTATGTATACCGGACGATTATGATTGTTACTAATATGGTATCATAAATGTATAAAATACACGAAAAAATCATTTATAATATAATATATATACATTAGTTTAAGTCTTAAGGTTACGTCTTATTGTCGTCTCCGATCATGTATACTTTTTTTCCTATACTTATCCGTGTAGAAATAATATTTAATCAAATCCAGAGCTCAGACTTTAGTCTTAGTCTCCGGCCGGCGACCACTTCATCACTAATCGTCACTTAACACTCCACTAAATCTGGTAACTAAAAAGTGTGAGATTTTACACAGGTGCTCGGTTTTAATAATCAGTTAACATATTTAGATAAATATGATTACTATTAATTTAAAAATACTATAATACACGACTTCGTCATATAAATATTATATCTTATAATTTTGAACATCTAACTATACTATGCACGTGGGTAGTGTTGAGTTTATAATTTATTTGGAAAAAAAAAAACTGTAGGCAGGTTTTCACAGGTTACTATAGAATTTTGTAGGCGTAGTTACAAAGAATTCTTTAAAACAGAGTTGTGGAGCATTTCAAAAAGTTGCATCTCAGTTTTACACCTATTACACTGTATAATCATTGTGAACATCAAACAATACTTTCATGCAACTTTAACTAATAATAACAATAATTTAGAACTTCAATAATAATAATAGTCGCCTTTATTAATATAAATAATCAATTATAATGGTACAAAATAAAACAAAATGTTTGTACTACTTAAATGATATATTACATACTTAAAATAAAAATAAAAATAATTGCATTAAGTAATTTACTATATGAATACGAAGTATTCAATACTCTGTGCAAGGAAATGTATTACCTACGTAGTTTTATATGATTTTTTTTGATTTTTCCTTGTGAACATTGTTTTGATAGTGAACACTGCTCAAAAAGTGTTTAGCAGTTATATGTATATGTTAGAAATTGAGTGAAGTCGGTACTTAAAACGGATCATTTTAAAATTGTTTTCGGTAGTTTGCCTAATTAGAAAAACAACAGACAAGAAATGAAAACAATTTAGCATGTGTGGTTTTAACCGTGGCTTGCTAAAAATTGTTGTTTTTTTTTGTAGTTTGGTTCAGAACTTTTTCCAAGCTTCATATCAAATCTCTTATTATACGTAACACACCCAAACAATAGCCCACCCAGCTACGTGCAGTTATTAATATTTATAATTAAAGTTTCATAAATTTAAGATTGTCATATATTGGCACTTTTATATACGAGTTCATGAATTGCTTGAGTATTTGTACGAGAGAAATAGAAGAAAAATAAAGCATTTAACATTTCTTTACCTGAATAAAACTAATAATATAATATATAGTTCACTCCGGAAAATGGTATTACGTTCGTCGAAACACGTTGCAATATTACTGCAGTATCGTGGGCTTTTTTTTGCCACTTTTCCATAATTAAAAAAAAAAAGATTACAAATCATTCTTAAAAGATGCGGTGTTCTGCCCAAAATAAAACATTTTTTTTTTCTAAGGTTGTGTTACTTATATTATTCTCTCTTTGTAGCTGCGCTGGGGTTGTGTAAATAAATAATATATTTTCCGAGTCTTCTCTCAAATTAATTCACTCTGAAAATTCCATGGTTTTTTTTATTCATCATTCAGAACGCCTAATTAAGTTATAACTTTTAAGTCTAAATGTAGTCAAATTTGTTTGAGGTGTTTTTCAAAAATACCCGTCCTGTTCACTTTTAAATTTAATCTATATCTTGTTTTGCTGCTACAAATTATTAGTGAAGTGTTTCAAATAAAATGTTCTTCTACATTTTTAAATATTTTTTTTACGAAATGTTACGGTTTACCATTAATTAAATTTAATATATTTACTCATCAGGATTTAAAATACTTTTACTTTACATTTTCCAGATATTTTTTTCACTCAATCAATTTCCATAAATAATTGTTTCTCATTTGTTTATTCTTTCTTTGCAAAAATGTAAACACAAATTATGTAATTGTGTTTTAATTTTTAACTTGAGAATGAATTCTGTGGGACATTTACCTGCAGACTTCCAACTCAGTATTATTTTTTTTTTTTTTTAGCAATAAGGCGATCAAAATATTTTTTCACTCTTCTAAGTCTCACGTTAACATGCGTTCTCTTCAATATAATATACTGCTCTTATAAGTCTTAGATTTAACGTAAATGATTAATTCATTAGAATCGTAAGACTAATGACTAGATAATATTAAAGATGGAATACATTTTCAATAGTTATTTCAAAGTTCTAAATAACCAGGTAGGTACTGAAAATACATATTAAGTCTTTATCCAGATAGTATTTTTATATTTCACTTAAATTTTTGTACATGAATTGAAAGTTATCAGATGGACATTTCTCATGCCTTAAATTCTTTTTTCTCGATTTCTACATTTCAATAATACGCATGTAGTTATGTTTTTATATCCACTAGAGAAAACATGTTAACATAATAGTATCTATCTCGATTTCTTTTGGACAACATTTTTTAATATCTCTGTATTGTAAATAGTCTATAGTACTATATTTTATTCTACTTATATTCTATTTATATATTTAACATTCTGGAAACTCTTTCAAAGTCAATCCATCACTGACAGAAACCTTAGAATACGCTGCTCGAAAAAGAAAAAGATCACACGGCTTGCAATTAAACCATGCTCACAATTATTTAGATCAAATAATTGGTCCAATCGATATTGCTGAAAAATTTTAAAAATAAAATAATTCAGTAAACAATTAAACAGTTATCGACTAATGTTGGTGACCTTTCTAATTCAGCAGATATAGAGAATATTCACTCGATCGACAATTTTTAAGATTTTAATAATTAGTTGTGATACTATCATAATAAAGCATAGATATTTAAATGACCATGGATATTATTTTTAAATAATAAAACATAATTTAATTTACATCAATATTAAGACTCTTATAAGTTATATCCTTACCAGAATAATATCATTGTATAAGTCTTGTTCACATAATATTGTTTTGGTAATTTATATATATAAATATATAATTATAATTATAGTCATGGTTATATATTAATGAATAAACACATCATATGTTTTGAATTTGCAATCTGTACAATATTATCTTATTAGATTTAACAGTCAATCAAAAAATATACAATCCATCATATTATTATGATCCTAAATATAAGTCTATTATTTGTAAAGGTATATTATATTAAAAACACAAAGGCGATTCTAGATTTTTCTTTTTTAGCCTATAATTGACCTCCTCGTATTCTTTTTTACTGTTAAGTACCTATACATAACTTAAGTAGTTAAGTTTAAAAAGTTTTCTTGACATTTTTTTGGTTGAAAAATTATAGCATAGAAACGAACTTCCGAGTGTCAATGAATTTCTACATTTTATAAAATATTCATTAAACTGAACCCACGTGTCTATTTGTATGTTTATTTCATACGCGCAACCCTTAAAATATTGAATATTCATCTAGTTGATAAATTACAGTCTTACGACAACTTATTTAGAATAAATACTTAATAGTTATCGTATTATTTTGAGATAAATGTACTGTGCTAACCGTAAAAAAAAATATATTTCTCGCCGACCCCATAAATTAATAAGCAATTGATTTTATTTCAAATAAATTATGTATACTATGTATCGTTTATGTTTACGGTTGAGAGTGACATGACTAACGACGACTGATTTAGTATACGATGGAGATATAACGAATATTTTAGAATAAAATAACCCACACTAATCGTTTTGAAAAAATTATAAATATAAATTTAATCTTTATCTCCATTTTATTTTTATTTAATAAGTGAAATATATATAGTAAGAACCAAACTATACACAAATTAGTTTAGAATAATTTTTAAAAAAGTACTATTTTTGGTGGATATCTACTAAAAATTAAAATTTATAAAATAAATCCATATTAATATATACTTTGTAGTGATAGATTTATTATTTTCATTGACTATATATCACATTATAAATTTATAAACAAATTGATGAAAATCGATTCATTGATTGCTAGTTATAACCTGCAAATAAATATAAATATTTTAATGTTCTGGTACAATGTCCATGGTTAATTTTCTTGAAATACATTTTGAACAAATAAAGGATATTATATTAAGTAGAATGGCTATTTTTCTTATTTTGAAATACTTAGTTTTTTTCATAAAAACTTTTAGTGTTAAAATGTTGGAAAGTTTTTCTCGTCAAACTTTTGATTGTTTTTTTCCTTAATATAGCTTAAATTAAAATATATTTTCAAAACTTAAAAAAAGGATAATATATTTGCAAAAATAAAAATAATTAGAACAATGAAAATACTCATTTTATTCGAATTTAAAATAAACTTAATTAACTAGTCCTTAAGTAAAGTTTGTGTCATTGTTTTTCAATTTTTAAGTTTATATTATTATGTTATCATAAATTGAAATGTTATGATTAACGAGGTTCCATATTTTTGAAATATTTTTCATTCGTTTAATAAAAACAAAAATAATTTAAAATAAATGTATGCTAAATTATATGTATGCTATATTTAATTTTACTTCAGTTATTGGAATGTTTATTGCTTTAAATTCATATCATGACTTTTTTTTAGAAGTTAATAGTTAAGAAACTTATAGTAAACCTTGGGTCTAATTTTTAAGTAAATAATAACAACATTTACATTAAAAAAAACTATAAATTAAGTACACCTACTTTTCTTAAAAAAAATAATATTAGGTTTCGTTTATGATTTTATGTAAATATAAATAATGTATAGCATCCAATTAGTTGG